TGGGAGTCCCCAGGCAGCCCCTTGCAATTGGAACTTTGCCAGCCTGCAAGGGAAAAGCCGCAGTTTCCCACATTTTTCTCCTTTAAAGGAGAATCTATTTTTAAGGTTTATTGTTCCATTTTTAAAGTTTGTTCATGACCCTTTCATGTACACTTGCAACTCACTTTTGGGTCATGACCCATGGATTGAGAAACGTTGCCTTAGCCTTCATGGTGGATAAAAGCCTGTGAACACATTTTATTTTTTTAAAAAGTCACGTTGAAATGTCCCAAGTTGATGCTTGCTTTTAAAAAATATAGTTGGGTTTAAAATCCCTTTTTATTATATATAAAATCTTAAAGACCACTTAGAATTAAATGTGTAAGAGTTAGAATCTCTGCAGTCATAAAGCTCATTGATGTAAGTCCATAATACAGAGTCTATCAGGCTGAGAAAGCAATAAGCTTTAATAGCTGTCTTGAAACAGTAGATCAAGCATTAACTAATGAGGGGAGAGGCACTCACGTGAGGTAGACTTACTAAATAAGGTACAGAGTTTTGTCGTATATTCAGCCACTACTATTTTCAGAGAGCAGTTGTTTTTGCCACTGAGCAGAACTTTAGACGGGAAACAAAATCATTTTTCCTTCATTTATAAACATACCTGTTCGAAGAGCCAGAAAGTCATTTCTGGCTCTTTTACAGGCATTCTGCAAAGTCAGGTAATTAATCAGCTGGACATAATTAACCAGTCAAACATTTACTGGCACCAGAAGTCATCCAAGGACTGTAGAATATAAAACATAAAAACAGTCCCTGGAACAGAACCTTAACACAGGTACTCTAATCACTAGACTTTAAAGTTAAGTCCCCCCCCTTATCTTTTATTATTTCTGTCCCCATGAAGCTCACGTTATTTGCTGAAAGGGTAGCATAGCCTCAAGAGAAGAGACATCCCCTGCCATCCCAAGCCAGTTTATAACTTGGTAGTCAAGGCACTCTACTAGTAATTAGAAAATGTGGGTTTGGACCCCTTTAAGCTGAGAAGGCAATTGAATTAAGACTTTTCATTTCCTTGGCGAGAGCTCTAATCCCTAAACTGTTACATTAAAGGTGGATGTGACCTGCACTGTTTTAAGAACAAACCCTACTCAGTTCTCTGGAAGAATGAATATAGAGGCCAGCTCTTGAGAGAGGGATCTTAAGTAGACATGGGAGTTAGGGGTACAGCCTCTGAATCAGAACTTCCTAGACCCCAAATGCTGGAGGCTGCAAGTGAGAGAGGAACAATGAAAAAAACCCTGGTCATACCCAGTTCACTCTCCCTTTCAGCATCCACTCTGCCACTGCATGACAGGATACTAGGCAAGATGGACCTATGGTCTGACCCAGTAAATATCAATTCTTATGTTCTAGACAGAAATCCTTTCCTGTAGCCTTGTATCAGATACTTAAAGATGTGCCCCTCTCTGAAGCCTTTTCTACTGGCTACCTCCAGCTGGTTTTCTGCTCAGTGTGGTGAATGTTTGATTTGCCTTTCTGAGGTGCTTATGTTCCCCAGGCAGTTTATAGGGAACCTACACACACAACACAGTGCTCAGGATTCAGTTTTCAGATATATTTTCAGATGTGCGGACAGATGTTCAGGTCCCTGCTCTAAATCATGGAGCACCTTTTATATAAAGCACCAGCACCTTCCCAACCCAACAAACATTAGCCTGTTTGGTTGGGGCAGGTTCATAGATTCATAGATGTTAGGGTCAGAAGGGACCTCAATAGATCATTGAGTCTGACCCCCTGCATAGGCCGAGTCCGACCCCCTGCATAGGAAGGAAAGAGTGCTGGGTCTAGATGACCCCAGCTAGATGCCTATCTAACCTCCTCTTGAAGACCCCCAGGGTAGGGGAGAGCACCACCTCCCTTGGGAACCCATTCCAGACCTTGGCCACTCTCACTGTGAAGAAGTTCTTCCTAATGTCCAGTCTAAATCTGTTCTCTGCTAGCTTATGGCCATTATTTCTTGTAACCCCCGGGGGCGCCTTGGTGAATAAAACCTCACCAATTCCCTTCTGTGCCCCCGTGATGAACTTATAGGCAGCCACAAGGTCGCCTCTCAACCTTCTCTTGCGGAGGCTGAAGAGGTCCAGGTGCCCCAGTCTCTCCTCATAGGGCTTGGCCTGCAAGCCCCTAACCATACGAGTGGCCCTTCTCTGGACTCTCTCCAGGTTATCCACATCCCTCTTGAAGTGTGGCGCCCAAAATTGAACGCAGTATTCAAACTGCGGTCTGACCAGCGCCCGATAGAGGGAAAGTATCACCTCCTTGGATCTGTTCGTCATGCATCTGCTGATGCACGATAAAGTGCCATTAGCTTTTTTGATGGCTTCGTCAGAGTCTGCCTGCAGGAGCCCGAGACATCTGCCTGCAGCTGAGGCGCTACCCCTCTCCCCCAGCCCCAGCTGGGTTTACCTAGCCTAAGCTGGATGGGGGGGTTGTGGGGAGCACAAGGCGGGGGGATCCTGCCGCCCCTCCAGCTCAGGTTGGGCAAACCCTAGCCAGAAGCTCACTCCCCATCCCCCTTTCCCCTCCCTTCCTGCAGATAGCCCCAATCATGTCACAAATTAATACTAGGGAACACAAATTCCCTAAGGCGCTCCAAAGTGGAGTGTCTTCATCTGATCACTCATTTGATGTGGGTTACCTTGTTGTGCAATCAGCCACTTTAAAAGCACTCTGCAGCTGTGCACATCACAGCAAAGCTGTAGAGTACTTTTGGGGGGGCAATCATATGACAAACATAACTGCACCCTACGTGATGGGGGGGTAGTGACTGACTACATTTACTTACAAGTGCTCCTTAACACTATCATGTTTGTTTTTGAGAGTGTTTAAATGCTGCTGTGGTGTAAAAGCCTTTTTTGCTGTGGAACTCTGGCAGGGTTTTTGTGCATACTTTTAATTATTTGTTACATTAAACAAAAACTTTTTTGACAATAGCAACTTTTGATTATTTATTTGCATATATTTGAACTTACTTTATGCATTACTAACACAAATTGCAACCATCTATTATACTGTGGACATTAACATTACTAAGGCCCTAGTCTTCTAACTGGTTCTGCAAGGGTATATCCTGGTGCTTATCTAGAACCTTCCTGATTTAATTCGGATTCTGGGAAGTTTTAACACCTTGTTTGAGAAATCTGGTAGAAGGACTGTGGCTTAAAGTACTCCTCATGGTTATGAATTGTGGCAAAGAAAAAGAAAGCGAAACTTTGGTGTTAAGACTTTTCACACGTCTATATTTCACAATAAGGTTGGTGCGTGGCATTCTTTCTCTGATGGTGAAAAGTATGAGAACCCTACAATAGGTAGTATGGGATACTCTGTTTCCGCACTGTGTCCCATTGTAATCAGCAGCTAGGGATTAACCTAAACCCTGAAACATGAGATTTATTACAATTATAACTAATACTAACAAGAAATTGGAAGAGATATTAGCTTGTGTATTTAAGGTACTAGCTCTAATTTTATATCACAGACACAAATTAATGTACCAGCTTTTGCATTCCAAAGAGCTCTTTGAGGGAACTCTAACTAGCACATTCTTATGGACATAGTCATGTATAGAAGCATCTTAAATTCCTCTTAGAGCTATTTATTAATTTACTGAAGGTGGCTTAATTTACTGAAAAAGCAGAGTAATATTAGAGCAGAACCTCAAGAGTGAACTGAGGCCATTACAGGTTTCCCTCTCTTTATGCTGTACATGTGTTCCTGGAAAATGGCACATAACTCAAATTCGCATAAAGGGAACCCATTTTACAATGTAACAAATAGGGATATGTTCCAAGACCTCGACTGTACTGACCCCCAGACCCATTTCTACCACTTTTACGAGACAATTATGGTACTGACCAACAGCAGACAGTACACACAAGCACAGGGTGGTGGTGAATGTTAAGTTGGTATGAAGAGAGTGTGGTGAAGTGTCAGACTCCACATCACTGGTAGGAGGTGCAGGCAGGGTAACATCCATAGGAGATAAGCTAACAGAACACTTAGAAGCCATAACAAGGATGGCAACTACAGAAACATGTAGACAACAAGCGAGGAGCACAGATCCACACACGAAACTATACTTTGGTGTGCATCACTCCCACAGTGCACTGCACAAAGCAGCTGACTTACAGGTTTCCACCACACCGACTGCATAAGAGTGAATTTACTTCACATATAACAAATTTTTGGTATAAAAAGGGTCATCGCATAAGAGCGAACTCATACATACAGAACCTGCATAAAGCAAGGGAAACCTGTATTCTCATTGGGAGTCATCTATTTTGTTTCTATCAGCTGGTTATGAAATTAGAGAGAATCCCTTGTCCTAATATCTTTGCCTTCCTAACTGAAACAGAGTTTAGGAGTGGCTGGGCCCAAAGATCCAAAAATGAAGAGGCTCTTAAAGCAGTTCTGCTGCTACTTTTGCCAGCCCTCAGCATATTTGATATTTTTTTAATATTCCCAGCTCCCAGTAGCATGTAAGTGGGTGAGAATCTCAGCTTTATTTAAACAGAGAAATATGTTTCCATCCTTCATGGTTGTGGAAAAATCTATAAAATATTACCTAAAATATCTCAAGCATTAAAAAATTATGAAACAGAAAAAGGATCTATAGCTGGGCGGGGGCATTGATTTCTGTGGGTTTTTTCCCCTCAATTAGGTTCTCATAATTTCTTGAGTCCTGACTTGATTTTAAATCACAGGGGGTTGGCAATACTGCAACTATGGTGTGAAAAACATCATAACCGGGAAAGATTTTTTTTTTGGTGAGAGGCTATAAAATGGTTGCAGAAATCAGATCTGCTATTAATCTATGGGCTCCTAAATGTGCTTTAATTTCTTAAATGTTTCTCTCCCTCTCAAGCAGGCGCTAGGACCTTAAGGAATCCTGTAGGACTGGTACAGTATATGTGGTGTATATATATAGCACAGCACAGCTAGCTAAGGAGCAAGGCAGCAAAAAAATCTGAATGCTGCTGGAAGCAAACAGCAGTTTCAGTTAACTAGAATTTAAATATTGCTGTATTCTGCTATCCTGCTTAGTGCCTCAGGGAAAGTAGCTTCTTCAGAGGGCAGTGTTGACACTGCACCATTTACTACGAATGCTACAGCTTTGGAAGGTCACAGACTCTTTACTAATCAGCAATTCTAGGTCAGCCTGCGACAAAGACCTTCTCACTCAAGAAAGAGTTACACTCTGTATTAACGTTTCCAGGCAGCAGCCATTCCCAGGCCTTGAACAAGTCCAAAGCCTGAGGGTCCCTGTCTTTGATGACCCGTCAGAAGACTTGTATAAGTACTTTGATCTATGCAGTGACGCCATAGAGAAAACAGTACGAAGGGGTGGAAAATGCTTAGTTTACTGTAAAAATGGTCGCAGCAGATCTGCAGCAGTCTGCACTGCCTATCTGATGAAACACCGAAATCTCTCACTTCAGGATGCCTTTGAGGTAATATACTTGGACTCAAAAGCTATTTTTATACTTCTTTGTGATAAGAAATTAATTTGAGAGCACGTTATGAATAACATCTTAATTCCTTACAGTACAAGTATAAAACAGACAGTTGGAATCAAATGAAATAGCATTTCTCTCTAAATACATAAGTACCTGAAGATAAAGCTATATTTAAATTAAGCTGGACATATTTATTGGTTATGCTGACAAATGGTTCAGTTTAATGGTTGTATTCTAGTGTCTTTAGTCCATTTTATTATGTATTAGCAGCTCAAAAATAATTCCTTATGATTTGCCATTTTCTAATCTTGTTCACAATTTAAATTTATTCACTTGAAATCCTGTGATTATTTTTGGCTGTAGCTTATTTGTAAGCAGCTTCAGAACATTCACAATTTGAGCTGTTTTGATTGGATACAGTCCCATGATAAGGTTCTGGTTCCTGATTGGATATGGACGTTTTTAGGTTTTGGGGACAAATGCAATTATAAATTAAAATGTATTTTATGTGATGATTCTAGAATAATAGCTAGACGTTAGTCATGTCCATGAGCATTCCTGTAATCATTTCCAAGCCCATGGTAACAGAACATAAAAAGAGCTACAGACAGATTAAGCTAATTAGTCAAGCAATTATCTGAAGAGGCTGTTTTACAGTGTTTGCCCTAAACTCCTTCATGTATAGGTTGCCTACACATAACAGACAAATCAGTCAAACATTGCAAGGAGACAGCATGTACTGTTCCTGATGAATATTATCTTAGCTGGGCACTAACCCTATTAATATGATGCCTCAATTTTTACTTTGGGTACTTGCCAAGTAGGATTCAGTCTCAGTGTCCTTTTTCCCTTGTCATTTTAGACCTACTAGAATGGTTTGTAAGTAGGGTTATCCCTTCCTACCAGTCCATTATATACTGTGCTAAGATGCCTTATCTTTCAGCTCCTCCTACCTGTACCCTACCAAAACACAACAGACTGAGTTTAGATATTTTTCAAAATTTAGAGGCAAAGATTTGTTAGGGTGATACCTTTTTTGGACCAGCTATGTAGTTAGGATTAAGTTAAGTCTAACTAGCTTAGGTCAAAGTTAGTTCTAACTTCCCAAATACATAGTTGGTCCAATAAAAGATATCACCCTATGAAATCCTTGCTTCTAGCATAATTTCTAGATCATCATGGCTATTAAAAATGAGGCTGACACCCCTCATAGTAGAGAAACATTGAAACCTCCAGCAAATTCAGTCATTGTCCTTGAAATCTGTCCTACATGTTCTGTATAACGTAGCAAGTATGTCCTCTATATTTTGGCATATGTGAAATATCCAAAACAGTGACATTGTTATCCCTATGGAGTATTAGCAACATTAACATTCGCAGGTGTCTAAAGAGGGAAATAATCCTGCATGATTTCCTACTAAATTTCCACCAAATGTAATGTAATGCTTGTCATTTTTTTCTAGATGGTGAAGACTGCCAGACCAGTAGCAGAGCCCAATATAGGATTCTGGTCTCAGCTGCAGAAATATGAGGAACATTTACAGAAGTAGCCTCAGTCGCATCATTATTCAGAGAAAAGGACTTCTGTCTAATACAATTCCAATTAAAAAGGTTATTCAAAATTATAATCACAGTTGTTTTAAAATGGCTTCCCTGATGTATTTTTGAGGTGTGCCTATCATTCTGATTCTGCAAAATAAGCAGCCATTTTTTTCAAAATTAATGGTTGCAAAAATTAATCTTCTGAACATGAATTGAACATAAAGTATTGTTTTCCTCCAAGTCTTTAAGTACCACACAACAAGGTAGGAATTTTCTTCATTAAATTCACAGGGGTGATAACTTTAAAGTCCAATAAAGATTATTTTGCTTCTTATTTTGTTTTTGCTTCTGCATATGAAATTGGTAGAATTGCTACATGAAGAAAGGTGCAGAGAAAAACAAGGAGAAGGCATGAACAGGGAAGAGAGACAGAAAGAGAAATAATAAAAAGGTGGGGGAAAGGGCAGAAATCACGGAGCACGTTTTCCACGTGAATGATGCTTAATATGACCATAAAGTACTTAACAGTTACAACATGCAGACTGTTTTGTGTCCTTGATCTTTGGTACAAGCCTTCCAGTGCCAACCCTGAGAGATCTGCTGAGGCACAGCAACAGTGTTCTGAATTTGTATCTCAGCTACTGGATGAAATTAAGAGTGGAATTTGGCTTTTTCATGGAATAAATCTGACACCACTTACCTACTTGATAATAGTCTGGTGCAGAACTGGAACCAAGAAGCTTTGCAGACAAGACTTAGAGTCCTGACAACTCCATATGGGAAGTTTACTTGGCAACTGCTAATCCTAGACCTGGCTTTCATAGTACCAAATTATCCATCACAATACAAGAGGTTTCCAAAAACATAAAATGGAAGATTATCAAAGGCACAAATGACATTGAGGAATCTAACTCCCTTTAGAGCTACCTTTTGTGTCTTTGAAAGGTCCTCCACAAAATACAAGTATGTAGAGAGAATTGTTAGAAAACTGACAGCAGGAAATAAAAGGTAAGACACCAGGTATGTCTACATGAGACACTTAATGCACAGTTAATTCTACTATGCATTAGCGCATCACAGCAAAAACCGTGTCAATGTGCAGAATTAGTCTACTGTGCATTAAGCGTCATAAAAAAACATGCGCTGTTACTACTGAACTTTAGCACCAGCTACTATGCATTTATGTGGTACCTCATATTAGAAGTACTAAACTTAATGTGCATTAGCAACAACACATCAATGCATGTGTAGACATGCCCACTGGCAGTCTAAAGTAATCTTCATTCCTTTTAGCACCATTTGCTAGAACAAAGGCAATCTAATAGCACCAAAACTGATTTTTTTAATGAATAGTCACCAGGGAGAAGATCATATTATATACCATGAATTTGAATGAATGGGTCTTCTGAGAGCTCTCACATTAGGCCATCTAAAATTAGCTATTCTAGAGTCTGGAGCTAGATTAGAGAAAAAAACTTATACCTCAGGCTACACTGAAATTCCTTTAGTGGGTCTCAAAAGCAGGAAGAAGTACGGGGGGTGGGTTTTGCACTTTTAATGTTGGCAATTTAAAGAAAAATAATGACAAAAGTGGTAAATCTGCAATACTAAATTTCATTCCACATTGCTCAGCAAACCAATTTTGGAAAGGTTAGCTAATCATCAATGACTACATGTTTATACAATATAAAACATGTTCCTGGCAGCAGAGTAATTTGAGATGAAAGTGCTAACGACCAAAAGCTATTGCCATAAGATTAGGAAAGAACAAAGCCTTTGCGGAATAGCTCGACTTACACAATGCTAATGAAATGTTTTTTGTTTGTCTTTCTTCAGATTTCAAGATCAATTATAATTTAAATTGAATTATTTTAAAAGCTGCAAAATGAGAAATAAAAATCAATGGTTTGGCAATAAGCGACCAGAGATTGCATGGTTTCTCTACCCCTGATTATGTTTAGTGTGCACTGCGCTCATCTACACATGAAATTAATTTGACACAAACTGTGGTGAAGTTTGCACTGGAGTTTATTGCTCCCAGGCACAGTGTTTACCGTGCGCCCTGGACCGCAGCACGTTGAGCCAGGGCAGCACAGCCCCAGCTGTGAGGGGATTGGGGGGAATCAGCCTGCCAGCCTGGGGCTGCTCCTGCCCAGCTCAACCTGCTGCAGAGGGGCTGGCTGGGTTGCAAGGGTGCTACTATGTGGGACTAGCCAGCAGGCAGCCCCTGAACTATAAGCACCTTGGTGCCCCAGCCAGCCCTGGTCACTGCTTACACATGCATCTCAGAGGCTGAAATAACTCCACTATAGGATAGTACTTGTATGAGACAGTATTGTCCTACAGCCGAGTTAATTAATTTACTACATTCTAATACGGGCTCAGGTGTAGATGGTGATGCTTTACTGCGGAGCTAATTTGGCAACTCCACAGTAAATGTCTTGTGTAGATGCACCCACTGTTTGCCAGCCATTGGACAAAGATTTTATGTTCTTTCAGCATTTTTTTGTTTTGTTTTAAAGTTGTATCACAAATCTTGCATGTCAGAAATTATGGACCAGATCCCATTCCAGCACTAAGGTGGCTAAGTGTCTAAGAACAATCCTATTCCATCCTGTTCAAGCCCTTGAAGACTCTTAACCGGTGTGCTTTTATTCAGCTTTGTGTTAAGACTGAACCAAAAAAGCAAAAAGGAGGACAAGGATTTCTTCCACCACCTTTCAAGAACTTGAGACAGTAGCACTTAAAAACCTAACAAACAGAATAAGATCTGGCTCAATGTAAATGTCAGCTAAACAGCTCACCTTATACGCAAATATACTCAATATTCCTTTAATGATATCCATAGTACCTTTCATTGAGAAATCCAAGTCAAACCAATCAGATGCTCAGGCCCTTAGCACACATTATATTTATGGCCCAATTTACACATTAATCATGCCATAAATAGCGGTGGTACCACACCAGTTCACCCAGTTTAAGGCATAGAACATCTTTGTGGCACCTTAAACTGAATGTGTGACATGTCTACATACTAGAGCTGTCTGGAGCCAGTGCTGGCAGTCAGCTGATTCACAGAATCATCCCCTGACAGCCACGGGTCTCTAACCAGCCCACAGCCTGATTGTCTGCACTGACTTAAAGCAGCCTTAGATCTCCAGCTGATTGTCAGCACCAGCCCCAAAACAGGTCTGGTTCTCCAAATGCCCTGGGGCCTGCAGAGCTGAGGGGCTCCCCCTGCTGGGAGTCTTTGATCCTTGCATCCCCTACCTCCGCAGGGCTGTCAGTGCAGGTGTTTTAAATTCCCTGGCAGGGGAGCTCCTTGGCTTTGTCCAGGAGGAGGCTTTGCTTAGGGACCTACTGAAATCGTGATTTTGCAGATTTCACAGAAAACATGAAATCCAGCAGACAATGTCTGCAAAATCCATGCAAAAAAAAAAAAAGAGAAGAAAACTTGCTCAAAATAAAATTCTGGTTCTCCAGAGGGAGCCAGCAGTCCCCATGATGCTGCTGCCTGGCTGCACAGCCTGCTGGGGGAGAGGGGGGGCTGCCAGCACACAGGGGAGCCCAAGATGGCTGCCACCCCTGCCCCTCACTGCTGACTGACTGAGAAGGCTGCCTGTCATGTGCCCCCCACCTCCACGAACTCCATGGCAAGAGGTGGGGTCATATGCCAGACAGCCCTCTTAACCAATCAATGGTGAGTGACGGGGACACCAGGGCCTTGTGGCCAATCAGAGGCATCACGGGGTGGGGGGAGCATCACGATCAGCCAATGAAAATGGTGGTTGGATCCACCATCTCCCCATGAAATCAGCCAGGCACCTCCTTGCACTAGGTAGACCCCACCTTTGATCGTCTTGACAAAGAAGCCTGGGCTTCAGTAGTAGTCAACTGGGATCTGTCCCTGGTCCCCATAATCATGTGTCGTGTGTGGCATGACAGGACATGTGATTATTAAGATTGGGGATCAGGTCCCATCATGTGATTGTCTGAATGTTTGCCAAGAGCATTGATGAGGATTGGATCGCCTGTTTACTTGCAGTAATAGTATTCAAATATATACTAGTTTCAATACTCAAGTGAAAGGCTACAACATAAACCAGAAAACTGGATATAATAAACTTTTTTATTTGATTTGACAACATGCTAACTTTACAAAGATTTGAAAAAGGAAAAGAGTTCAGACATAATCTTTGGAGGTTATAACTGTCTCAGAGTCTTTGGTGTAAATGCGTTGTGGAAGGGTGGTTTGTCCCAATGAGTAGTCATATTTGTCATTGCTATAAAGGAAGAAAAATTATTAAAAATAAATAAGCACTATACATATTCACATACTCTTTGACAAATTAAGTTAACTGACTTAAAAAGTTATGCATATAAAAATATTTGTGCTAGTTGCAATTTTTAACATAATTCAACAGGACGAGAATTTACAGCAAAATTATCTAAAGCTTAGACTGCTGGCCTCTGATCCATCATGCAGGCCTTTTATATTGTGCACTAATGCCAGTGAAGGACTCAAACAGATTTTCTACAATTTTTGTATCAGTACATTATGGCCAGGTGCAGACATCTGGAAACTAATCTATACCCATAACCGTATAGAAGTTAAGGGCATATAGACTGCTTTAAAAATGATGGATCCTGGTCTAAGATAGATCTGGAACAATGTAGTATATCAGACTTACTCAATCTAGGTTATACTGGTCTAACTAATATCAATACCAGGTCTGCTTGCAAATCAAGGTAGGTCCCTGTCCGCTGGTATCCTAGGGGACTTTGAGGGCCCACACTGGCCCCCCCCCCGCCACAGGGTGTGCTCAGGTTAGCCCTGCCTCCAAGCTCTCTGTCTGTCAGCCACAGGCAGTATGGGGGAGTGGGGGGGTGGGGAGGAGATGGTGCCAGAAGCGCACCCCACATTCCTGGCTGGGTTGGTGGGGCACATAGTGTCTCTCCCCTGTCCCAACTCCTGGAACCATACACTGGAATGGCTGCAGGAAGGGCTTGGAGGATTCTCTGTCCTCCCCCTTCCCACCAAACCAGCGCCAAGTTCCCGGCTGAAGCTG